TGTTGTCACTTTTGGCCATTTCTAAGGCTATTTCTAAGTTTTGGGCTCTTGGTGGAGTTTGAGCTTCAGATCTGGGCTCTCTTGAGCTTTAGAAGCTCAAATTTGCCACCTTTTATTCAGCCATGTCCCTATTCCATGCACTAGGTCTCCATTTTAGCTTAGTTTTGGTGTTTTAGCTTCATAACACCATACATGCACGTAAAGTTGGCAACCTTACGTGTTATGTTAGCCTAACAAGTCCAGATCTATGAATTTGTAGCATTAGAATCGACGGTTGATTTTGGATCTTGAGGGGACTCGGCGATTTGGATATCCAACTCGGTGAGTCGGATTGTAACTCTCTTCTTGTATGACTTTGGACCAACCCAGTGAGTCTAGGAGACGACACAACGAGTCGGTCAAGGATTTTGAGTAAGAAAGACTGAGGAGCTCATCGAGTTCAAGGAGGTACTTGGCGAGTTGCCCTTAATTGTACCGATGCTATGATAGGAAGAACTTGGCGAATTATGAAAGAACTCGTCGAGTTGAGACAAGGTTTCGGTGGTGTCTTGATTGGTGGAACTCGGCGAGTTGAGAGACCAACTCGACGAGTGGAGTTGTTTTGTCCCAATCCTGTAAAAGGCAAAACTCAAGGAGTCTATGAAGGGACTCAAATGGTTGACTTGGTTTATTACAAGGCTGAATGGAATAAGAACTCCAAGTTAGAAGGTAACTTGATGAGTTGAATCAACTAGGATTTGACTTTGACTTTGACTTTAACCAGGGTTATATCGGTCATTTTATCCTTAGAAGGATTCTCAGTCTTCTAACTACGTATTATTGTATAGAGTTAGTCGCGGAGTCGTGGGAGCAACCAACAGAGATTTCTCACGCACGAGTTCAACATCCTGTTTGAGAGGTGAGTTCTCCTCTAGTAGGAACGGTTCGAAGGCACCAATGCCGACCCTTTTATGTATGTTAGTATGTTCCCGGCTTTGGTCCGATGTTGGGGCTAGCCCGATGTTGAGTATGTCTTCCAGACTTCGGTCCGATTCCGACGCGGTCCCGAGAAGTAGTTATATATGATTGATGTCTTTGTGATTCATTCATGTTATGTGTTATGTGTTTCGGGCCTAGGTTCGATGTCGGGGCAAGCCCGGTGTATGTTAGCTTATATGTTATGTGTTATGTGTTCCAGGCTCCGGTCCGATGTCGGGGGCAAACCTGATGTATTTTATATCTTTTTGTTACGTGTTTATGTTATATGATATGCAGTGTGTATGATGGGGTAAGCCCAATGCCGAGGCAAGCCCGATGCCAGACGTGGACTGATATCGGGGTGAGCCCGATGTTGGGCAGGAGTCTAATGCCAGGTTCGTCCCGATGCAACTGGTTGGAGCCCCAAAGTTATGTTATATGTTATATGTTATTTGTATGGTATGTGGTAGTTTGGGGGGAGCTGACTAGGCTTCGTACTTATAGTTTTCAGTGTTGGTTTTAAGTACTTCTACTAGCAAAGGGAAGGCTCGGGGTGATCGCATGGCACACACCACAATTTTATAGCCTGGGATATTTCACTCTGATATTTGAGATGATATTTTGATATTTTGACAGTTGATGTGATGTTTTTGAGATACATGTTTTATGATGTTTACCTGATGATGTTATTTATGGTTTTATTAATGATTTAAAAACAAAAATTTTGAACTGTATTTTTGGGATGCTTCAAGTTGGTATCAGAGCCTTGATTTGAGGGATTCGGGCACACTTTCGGGTGTATCTGAACTCAAACTAAGGGATTGGTATAGAAATTTTCAAAAGAAAAACGATTTTTATAAAAGGAGTTTTGAGAAAAGAAAAGAATTTTAGAAAAGGCAAAAAGAAATGGATTAAAAAAAGAGAGAGAAAAGGTTGTAGTGCATGCAATCAGCCAAGCTCAAATAAGTACTCCCAAATTACCTATACAAGTTTATGTTATGATATGTTTATCAACTTTATGAAAACTGCATGCTAGACTAGGACTAAGGATCTAAGAAGGATGCCTTATGTGTTTGTTATATGTGTATTAACTTTATGAATTGCATGCTAGTACAAATTAGTTAGTATGATGGCCGGATTAGAATATGCTTGATTATGTGTACTCAATGCTTGAATGCTGCTTGCTTTATGCTTTAAGGAGTTCTAGTTGTCTTTTACAAACTAGTAAACGAATATGTTAAGTTACACATTGTAAGGACTAAATAATTTCAGAAGGTTTGGGTTAGCCTTATTTCGCAGCTCTCGTTTCAGTCTAACCATTGTAGGGTAGAACCTTTCATCAAGTAAACATCATAAAACATGTATCTCAAAAACATCACATCAACTATCAAAATATCAAAATATTATCTCAAATATCATAGTGAAATATCGTAGGCTATAAAAATGTGGTGTGTGTCATGCGATCACCTCGAGCCCTTCCTTTTCTAGCAGAAGTACTTGAAACCAAAACTGAAAACTATAAGGACAAAGCTTACTAAGCTCCCCCAAACTACCACATACCATACACATAACATATAACATATAACATATAACATATAACATATAACATATAACATATAACATATAACATATAACATATAACATATAACATATAACATACAACATATTAGGACTCCACCTAACTGCATCGGGACGAACCCGACATCAGACTCCTACCCAACATCGGGCTCACCCCGGCATCAGTCCACGCCTGGCATCGGGCCTCTCCCGACATCGGGCTTACCCCGACATACACATTACATATCATATAACATAACACACATAACATGAACATATAACATACATCGGGCTTGCCCCAGCATTAGACCGAAGCCGGAAACACATAACACATAACATATAAGCTAACATACACCGACTTTCCTCGGCATCAGACCTAGGTCCGAAACACATAACACATAACATGCATGAATCACAAAGACATCAATCATAAATAACTACTTCTCGGGACCACCCTGACATTGGACCGAAGTCTGGAACACATACTTTACATCGAGCTAGCCCTGGAATCAGACTGAAGCCCGACACATACAAAAATACATAAACGGGCTGGCATTGGTGCCTTCGACCCGTTCCTTTAGAGGAAAACTCACCTCTTAAATTGCATGTTGAACTCTTGCATGAGGAATCTCAGCTGGCTTCTCCCATGACTCCCCAGCTAACTCTATATAATAATACTTAGTCAGAAGACTGAGAATCCTTCTAAGGGTAAAATGACCGATATGCCCCTAGTCAAAGTCAAAGTAAAAGTCAAATCCTAGTCAACTCAACTCTTCGAGTTCTTATGCCATTCAGCCTCGTAGTAAACCATTTCAACCCGTCGGGTCCCTTCACAGACTCGTCAAGTTCTGCCTTGTACAGGATTGGGACAAAACGAATCGACTCGTCAAGTTGGTCTCTCAACTCTCTGAGTTCCACTAACTAGGACACACCGAAATCTTGTCTCAACTCGAAGAGTTCTTTCACAACTCGCCGAGTTCTTCCTATCATAGCATCAGGACAATTAAGGGCAACTCGTCGAGTACCTCCTTGAAATCGATGAGTTCCTCAGTCTTTCTTACTCAAAATCCTTGACCGACTCGCTGTGTCGTCTCCTAGATTCACTGGGTTGGTCCAATGTCATACAAGAAGAGAGTTACAATCCGACTCGACGAGTTGGATATCCCACTCACCAAGTCCCCTCAAGCCCTATACTCAATTGTCGATTCTAATGCCACAAATTCACAAATCTAGACTTGTTAGGCCAACATAACACGTAAAGTTGCCAACTTTATGTGCATTCATGGTGTTATCAAGCTAAAACACCAAACCTAAGCTAAAATAGAGACCTAGTGCATGGTATAGGGACATGGCTGAATAAAAGGTGGCGAATTTGAGCTTCTAGCTCAAGAGAGCTCATATATGAAGTCCTAACTCCATCAAGAGGCCAAAACTCGAAAATGGCCAAAAGTGACAACAACCAAGCTTAAATGAAGATCTAAGTGAAAAGGAGCCAAGGTATAAGCTTTATACGTCTAACAAGTCTGAAATGCAACCCAAGCTCTAGATCTTCTGCCTTTTCCTTGGATCTTCTAGCCTTTCCTTTCTCCTTCTAGCTTCAAATCACAAAATGGAAAGAAAAATTGCTCATGAACACACAATGTTTTTTAGGGTTTCGAAAGTAGAGTGTGGAGGTGATGGAGGCTGGGGTGAAGGTCGAATAAGGTGCTTAAATAGGATGCAAAACCCCGAATTTAGGGTTTCACCATGGCCGACCTACTCGCTAAGTTAGCGACTCGACTCACCGAGTCGATAACTTAAGCCTCGCGCATAGTCTACCCTCTACTCGACGATTTAGGGACACCAAGTCATCGAGTCCTTCTTTCAAAATAAATAAATAATTAAATTAAATGTGTACCAGGGAACTAGGTGTTACAATAGGTTAGGGAGAAGGAAAGTTGTTGTGGCATATTGGAACCAACTACTGGTATCAGTTGTATGGTTTTTTATTACCTTATGCAATTTGATAGCTAAATACAAAAGTAGTAGACTTGCCATATTCCTTCACATGATTTCCCGTAATGTTAAGAATAGAGTCCTTACCTGTCGTTTTCATCGTTCGGGAGAAACAATTAGTAGAGTTGTCACTTGAGTGTGTCATGCGGTGATAAGATTTCATACTTATTTGCTTAAGAAACCTGAACCTATAACCAAATACTCTACGGATCAAAGATGGAAGTTGTTTGAGAACTGTCTAGGGGCTTTATATGGATCACATATAAAGTGTTTAGTGCCACTTGAAGATAAACCTAGGTATAGAACCAGAAAAAAATGATATAGCTACAAATGTGTTGGGGGTTTGTTCACACGATATGCAATTTATCTATGTGTTACCGGGATGGGAAGGATCAGCTGCGGATAATGGAGTGCTTAGAAATGCCTTGCTAAGACCAAATGGATTAAAAATTCAAAGACGAGGTACTTATCAATAAGTAGAGTGCTTAGAAATGACAATTGATCCTTTTGAAGACAATGCTTCACCAGATGAGGGAACCCACGACAATGTGGGTGGAAATGATGATAATGTCACAGCCATCGGGACTTCAGATGAATGGAATACGTTTAGAGATAATTTAGCACAAACAATGTTTGATTCTTGGAATACAACAAACCGATGTTATTTGTAGTTTATTTGCACCTTGTTACTCTATTATTTGCATTTTATTTGTTGTTTATTTGTACGTTATTACTATTATATTTTTTTATTTGAACCTTATCAATCTGTTAGTTGTATTGTATTTAGTTTACTGTGATGATGGTTTTTTTTTTGTGCATGGGACAAAAGTCTCATGATACTTGTTTTAGTAAGTTGATGTTATTTTTTTGGTTTTTTCTATATTATAATTGTAGTTTATTTGTAGGTTTGGTTGAAAAAAGTCGAAATTATAGGACGTCGACAACACATGAAGATGCTAAGCTTGTGGAGGCGATGTTAAATATGGCAAATGCGGGTGGGTTTAAAGCCGATAACGGTTTTAAATATGGTTATTTACAACATTTGGGACAAGCATTGAAAGAATCACTCCCGAATGAGGTTATTTTGGCGAAACCTCATGTTGAGTCACGAATCAGAACAATGAAGAAAGAGTGACAGGTTGTTTATGACATGATCACCGGTAAGTACACAAGTGGGTTTGGTTATGATAGTATTAATTGATGTGGAACAGTTGAATCACCTGAGGTTTGGGATTCTTATGTAAACGTATGTTTAATATATATCTTTGATCTATTTTTATTCTTGTTCAAAATAATAATTTGTTGTTGCATTTGATATGTGTATAAAGGACCTGAAAACTGGAGAAATAAATCACTTCCACATTATGATGACTTGTGCATCATTTTTGGAAAAGATAGGGCTCAAGGGAATAGAGTCGAAGATTGTGAGGTTATGTCACATAATGAAACTGTGGAAGAAGAATTATTGAAAATGGAAGATGATTTCAATGAGAAAAGTGAGGAAATTTCATCCACGGCAAATAGGCAAAGTGAGGAAACTTCAAGTGCTAATACTAAGAAAAGGAAGCATAAATTTGATCCTTTCATTGAGGGAATATCCAAAGTTGTGACGTTACTTGGAAAAGATCTTCGGGAAGTATCGGCCACCATGTCTCAATCTTTAAATGCTGAAGCGGAGTTACAAAAGAAAACTTCTATGGTGACTTCTGAAATTTTGAAGATTCCATCAATGGATCAAAGGGATAAGTTTAAAGCAAGTCGAAAGATAATGCACGAGACGGAAGCAGTGTTGACCTTTTGGAACTTGGAAGGTGAAGAACGTGAAACTTTTGTGAAGCTCATGTTGGAAGAATGATATGTACCATATAGTATTTCGGTGTATCATTTTGAGATACTTTGCTCATTTTTTGTAAGTTGTGATATCATGGATATCATCCATGTTCCAAACTTATCTAAAATGTATTTATTTTAGTTTATCATTTTGGAAGATGTATGAAAAACGCTCTAGAATAGAAGTTATATTTGATTGTTAGGTTATATATGTTTATAATCGCTATTAAATTTGATTGCTGGTTATTTATTAATAATTTTTATGTCAATTATAAAGTAATTTTAAAAAAATAAAATAAAAGTTATTATTGTCATTTGACAGAATTTCATTTCAATTTCTTCAACAAATCATCAGTCCAACCAAAAAAAGACATAGGAATGGATTTCAATTAGAACTCAAAAGTTGGCTACATTTCTCAACATTACACCAATCCATAAAGTCCCTACTAGTTTCACAATTCCTTAGTCTTCATTACAATGACTCATTTACCACCAAGGGTGTTTGGGATTACTTTTTAAGGCTAAAAGTTCTTTTTATAAAAGTTCTTTTTTTTATTTTTTTATTTTTTTTTATTTTTAAGTTCTTTTGAGAAAACAAAAACCAAAAATGGGTTTTAAAAAGTGTTTAGGTAGTATTTTTTGACTTTTGAGTGTGATTTAACTTTAAAAATCCAAAAGTTACAAAAAATCACACTTTCTTGGCTTTTGAAAACTCATTTTTTTTTTCTTCTTTACAAAAAGTTATTTTAAAAAGAACTTTTGTTTCCTCCAAACATCTTTATAATTTTTTTAGAAAAGTTAAAAATCGAAAGTCATTTAATTTAAAAAGTAATTTCAAACACCATCCAAGTATGAGAAAATGATCATACTTGCCTCGTATAAAATCTTCAAATTCACGAGATTTTATTTTCTTATTTTTTATGTTATTAAAAAAACGAGTGTAAATATTTGACAAACGATTTTGACTTATGGTGAGCCACTAAGGTTTTTTCGCTGACGAATATTTAGCAAGCCACTATAATGACCAAACCCATTTTGCAAAACAATAAAAAAAATCTGCCAAAACCATTTTGAATTTTTATATTTTTCGAAAAAATGAATTTTATAATTTTAAAGATTAAAACATTTGTAAGAATCATCAAATGACCCGCTACTACAAATAATGGTAACATAAGATGTCGTGCAAGATTGGCTTAAAAAAAATAGGGAAAATGACTCTGGAGGGTAATTAATTTTTGCGTTTGTACTCATTTGGTTCCTTTTTTTATTTGTATTCAATATACCATCGAACTTGTTGTTTGCATTCACCAAAACCCTTTTGACTGGCTTTTGACCTGTGATAGTCGGTCAAAGGGTTATGGTAAACACAAACAACAAGTTCGATAGTATATTGAGTACAAAAAAAAAAAAAAAAAGGAAAGGGACCAAATGAGAACAAACGCAACAGTTGGTTACCCTTTTGATTCATTTTCCTTTTACTCATTTACAGCAAATCTCATGTCATCCCCTACTGATATTAATGACTTTATGAGATTCATTCTTGCTTCTCTTTAAAACATAACCCACGAAAAAACATTATTCATACATGTACAACTTTGTAATTCACTTGAATATTTATTAGGGAAATCTTGACTAAGCAGACGCATTACATGACTACATTTACATTTCCAATCAAATGATTTACCGCATCATGGATTCTAAACAAGTCTACAAACGAGTGGAATCACAAGTGCTATGATTTTTTAGTTTACTTAGCTTTAAGATCGAATTGATGGGATAAGATACAACATCAATATGTACAATATCATGCTGCTTTTGTAGATACATCACCATAATATACCTTGAGATAAATGTTTGTGCTGATAAATATACCTCTCATACACAGTCGTATCTTTTTGCAGAGAGGTGTTGGCAATTAATCACAATAAGCATAACGTAGACCATGTTTTAACAAGATTACCCCTTTGAAACACTCTTCATATACGTTATAGCCAAAGAAGGTTGCAATCTTTGATAATTTTGCAACTTTAATTTCATTTAAATTTTCGGGGAAAATGACTCAGGAGGGTAACCAACTGTTGAGTTCGTTCTCATTTGGTCCCTTTCCCTTTTTTTGTACTCAATATACCATCGAACTTGTTCTTTGTGTTCACCATAACCCTTTGACTGGCTATCACAGGTCAAAAGGGTTATGGTGAACGCAAACAAGTTCGAAGGTATATTGAATACAAAAAAAAGGAAAGGGACCAAATGAGTACAAACGCAAAAGTTAATTACCCTAAGAGTCATTTTCCGAAAAAAAATATTCATATATATTAATTAAAAGGGAAAATTATGCAAATAGTCCCTGAGATTTGAGGTATTTTACAAGTTCAGTATTTATTATTATTTTTAAAAATTCAGACCGTCTTTATAGTTCTACATAGGGGTGTTCGCGGTTCGGTTTGAAACCGTGAAACAGGCCAAAACGATCATCAGTTTGGTTTTATGGTTTGTATTTTTCTTTATAGTTTGACTTGCGGTTTCAAACTTTTCAAACCGTATTGAACGGTTTGGCTTATGATTTTTAAGATTTCAAACCGTATAAAAAACCGGACCGGGCCGTAGGATTTGTATATATATTAATTATTATTTTTTATATATAATTGCATTTTGTTGTATTATATATTAATTTTTATATACAAATAATAAACTTTAAAACCCACAAAATTTAATTATTGCAATTTTTTTTAACAATATTGGGTAGTTTTTTTGTTGTTTTGAACTTTAATATTAGAGTTTTTTTAACAGTATTAGACAAAATTTTTGCTCTTTTGTCAGCTTTAATATTACTGTATTTTTAACAATATTTGGTAGAATTTAACTGGTTCAATACCTTTAATAGTGTAGTTTTTTTTTACTAAATTAGTTTAATGGACTCGACTAAAATGAGCCTAAAAAGCCAAAACCGTGAAATCAAACCAGAGCCAAACCATTAGTAACATTTTGATTTGCTTTGATTCGGTTTTAAATTTTCAACGGTTCAGTTTTGGTTTTTGCTTGACAAAAACCGTTAGTAACGGTTTGACCTAAAAATTGAAAAAATCGGACAGTACACCCCTAGTTCTACATGTCCTTATTAATTATTTTAAGACTAAATTACTGAAATGGTTCCTTTGTTATGGTCAAAATTTGCGGTTTTGATCCTTAAGTTTAATAATTGATAGGTTGTATACCTATAGTTTATGAATACTGCAGTTTTGGTCCTTACTTTATCTTTCTTTTTTCTTTTTCATTTTCTTTTAACAATTTATTATTATTATTATTATTATTATTATTATTATTATTATTTAATTTTATTAGTTCTTTATTATAATTGAATTTGTATAGAGTTCTTATTAAATTATTTTTATTTTTTAAATTAGTTATCTAAATTATATATATATATATATATATATATATATATATATATATATATATATATATATATATATATATATATATATATATATATAACGTTTTTTATGTTGTGCTCGAATAAGCAAATTAAAATAAAACCCCAGATAACTTTTAGGGGGGTTTTGGTCCAAGGAGCATAATTTATGGGTCATGGATGTCCCAAGTTGATTATACTTTCAAATTTGAAGTCTTTGAAGGTTGGGAAGGCATAAAGGTGCACCCTTTATGCCATTGAAATCCCATGCAAACCCTAAGGATGATGTTATGGCCATTTAAGCCCCCAAGGGCTATGCATGGAAGTAAAGTTTGAAGCTTTACGTGTTTACTCGGTATCCAGGGACTAGATCTTGGTTCTCCTACCTTGGCTTGGGGTAATAAGGATTATGGATAATGACTATGTCTTAAGGACCTAGGGTTTGAGCTAAACCCATTAAGAAGGAATAGTAGTAGGTAAAGTATGAAACTTTACACTTAAGAGGTCATTTCCAGCATAAAGACGAAGTTTGATGTTTAGATATGAAGTGTATGGGCTTAATCTATTAAGATGCACTAATCAGACTGAGGAGCTCGACAAGTCCAGGGAGGGACTCGACGAGTTGAAATGATTTGTCCTGATTTTGTTCGTAGTAGAACTCGGCGAGTCAGAGGAATGACTCGACGAGTTGATTTGATGAATCAAGACCATGAGTATCGCGATTTCAGGATTCTGAGTTTTAGAACTCGACGAGTTGATGGAGCAACTCAGAGCGTTGACTCTGACTTTGACTAAAGTTGACTTTGAATTTGACCAAGGGTAAAATGGTGATTTTACCCTAAGAAGGATTATCAGTTCTTGACTAAGTATTATGTTGGTAATGATAGCTTGGGGAGTTGAGTGATCAGCAATTTAGGGATCTACTAGCTAGCAGTAAGAGGATTATCCATGGGTTTTTGTAGTCAGTGTATGAGGTGAGTTTTCTCTAATAGGAATGGGTCGAAGGCACCAATGCTGGCCTGTTTATGTATCTTAGTGTATACCGGATTTAGATCCGATAATGGGGTTAGCCTAATGTAGTTTATATGTTATGTGTTCCGAACTTAGGTCTGATGTCGGGGTTAGCCCGATGTAATTTATGTGATATGTGTTCCGGGTTTCGGTCCGATGCCGAGGCAAGCCCGATGTAGATTTCATGTTCCAAACTTTGATCCGATGTCAGGGCAAGCCCGAGGAAGGTCTAAGCTTTCTGGATTTCAGTCCGATGCCGGGCGGGGCCCGAGGAAGGAATGCATGTTTAGTTATACTTCTTGTCTTTGTGATACTTGTATGTGCCTACTAGGGAGGTGAGTGTGGGTGGGGCACCTATCTCATCACTAGCTGAGTATGGATGGGGTTCCATATCTAAGTAGTAGCAGAGTAGGGGAGGGGCCAAGATAGGCGGGGCCTTGAGATTAGCAGTTATAACATTGTGTTTGATTGTTATGTACTAGCATGATTATGATTATATGTTGTATGTGCGTAGCAGGTGGGGCGCAGAGATCGGTGGGCCCTAGTAGAAACATATATGTATACCGAACGGGGCTTGATGCCAGGCGGGGCCTGATGTTGGG